GTTCCAATTCGGTTCCCGGTTCTTGCAGATGACGTGTGCGCGTGCGCGTCTACATGATCGTATGGAGACGGTTGGAGGTTCAGTTCAACCAGGAGTCAGGAGGAACCCTGGGGCCAGGGGAGCCACTGGGCCCAGCTACCCGACGAGCCAGGGAAGCCACTGGACCCAGACGTTACGCATGGTGCCTTCGACGGACCAGTCGACAGCATCGTGCCCCGTGGACCAGGGGGCTGTGGCGACAGCGGGCGATTCCTCACCGCCAGGATAGGAAACGCTTGGACTACGGTCTGGGACGGTACGGAACATTCATTTTTGGCATGGGTCATCCCAAAGGACATTTAGGCAAGGGCGCCGCCCGCGCCCTCACCGGGCGCGCGCAGGATGGTGGGGGCCCAGCCCCGGCCGCCGTCCCCAGTCCGGCCCTGGAGGCCCCGAGGACCTTTGGAAGCCCAAAGCGCATTTTCGAACCGTCCAAACATGCGATTTGAGCGTTTCCGCCGCCCTTCCGTGCCCAGTGCAGCCCTGGAGGCTCCGAAAACCACCTGGAGGCCCAAAACGCATTTTCGAACCGTCCAAAAATGCGATTGGAGTTTTCCCGCCGCCCTGCCATCCCTGGAGCAGCCTTGGAGGCTCCGAAGACCACCTGGTGGCCCAAAGCGATTTTCGAACCGTCCAAACATGAGACTCGAGCTTGTCCGCCGCCCTTCCGTCCTTAGTGCGGCCCTGGACAAGCAGTAAAACAGGACGAGGGAACCCGGGGGTGCAGGGGGGGAGTTGGGAGCGGGCGGGATGGACCTAGCGCAAGAGTGGGCGCTCGCATCGGGCAGTTCCCAAGGGTCCACCTCCACGACTGGTTCCCGGTTCGGTTCCCGGTTCGGGCCCGGTTCGGTTCCACCGCCTCCGGTTCGGCTTGGTTTCGGTTCGCGTCGGGTTTCTGACGGGTTCAGGTTCCGTCGGTTCTCCCTCGGTCGGTTCTGTGGTTCGCGGTTCGGTTATGCGGTTCACTGCCGTGTATCATAAACCATTAGTTTCCATAGATATCTTGCACAAGTTAAGATGAAGTGCGCACGCGCGCGCGCCGTCACGCGTGCATTCCGAAATTCTTCAACATCTATCGGTTTCGGGAAGATATCGAAATCGAATGTCCAACGAAAAAGTAAAACAAAAACATTGTTTCGCAACGCGGATCTTCAAAAAGATCGTGCGCGCGCGTTCTTAAGAAACACGTTTGTTTTGTTGCCTAAACCATCGGTGTTTTTAGCGATTGCAGAAAATACTACCAAACGGGCTTCGCGCGCGCATGTAGAAATCGTTCGAACGCCCTTGCGCGCGTGCTGTCGCGAGAACCCTTTGCAAACAATGGGACGAAGTGCGCACGCGCGCGTCGTCGCGCGCGCATGCCGAAATCCTTCAAAAACCACCGGCTGCGTAACGATTTCGAAACCGAGCGTCCGAAAAAAATGAAACACATGGTTTCGCAACTTCAGTTTTCAACAAAAGCGTGATCTCGCGCTCTTGCGAACCTCTTAGAAAACCATAAGTTTTGACATGTTCATGGGCTTCTGCAAATCGGGCCTCTGGCGCCGCATGCCGACATCATGCGCACGCCCTTGCGCGCGTGCCGGGGGGGCACGATCCGTGTCAAACTATTCCATTCCAGCCTCTCTCGCGCATCGGCCGCGCGCGCATGTCGAACTCTTTCCAAAACCTTCATCACCAACGCGAGGACGCCGTCATCTTCGTCGGCGTAATCAGCATCGGCGCCCGCGCCGGCCGCGCTTTCGTCGGTGCGAACATCGTCACCAGCGTCGCCCCTATCATCATCGTGTCTACAGTTATCGGTGTTGCCGTGATGCCGCGCCCGCCCAAGTCGCCGACTCGCAGTGAACTGCCCGCTGGGATGTGCTGAGCGGTCAGCGCCACCGCGTTCGCGTCGGTGGCGCCAATCTGGCCGGCCGGTGCGCACGCTTGGTGGGGTTGGCGCGGCCGCAGAGATGCACCAGCCAACGCCAAGCATGCATCGCAATCGCCACCGCGTGGGTTTTGCAAACCAAGTTGCGGGTGGGTGGGTGGGATGTTTGCAAGGGCATGGGATGTGCCATCTCGTTTGTTGCAATCCATCGCACCGCATAGTTCCCCTCCTCTAATAAGGAGATCGGTTCTATCACCCTCCCCCCCCCGGACTCATAGACTCCCCATGCAACTAAGCAAAACGCATATGATGTTGACCCAATGTCCGTTCGTCTTGTGAACTATACTATCCCAGCCAGGCTGGTATCGATTCCCCTTCGGTGCCATGGCAAAACACACAATGCGCGCGCACCCGTTGATATGAATTCGCATTTTTTGAAGAATCCCTTGCTGCAGGGACGAAGTGCGCACGCGCGCGTCGTCTCGCGCGCATGCCGAAATCCTGCAAACACTACGGGTTGCGGACGGATTTCGAAATCGAGTGTCCAAATATCATGTAAAAACAGCATCGCAGTACGGATGTGCAACGATAGCGTGCGCGAGCGCACTTGCGATTTCTTAATACCACCCTATCTTTTTCAATGTGTGCTTAAAATGCTACCAAGCGGGTTTCGCGCGCGCATGTCGAGATCGTTCGAACGCCTTTGCGCGCGTGCTGGGGTGGCACGGTCCGTGTCGAATAACACCATTGGGGCCACTTTCGCGCGTGTGCCCCGCGGGCATGTCGAATTCTTTCCAACACCGTCATAACCGACGCGAAAACGCCGTCATCTTCGTCGGCGTAAGCAGCATCGGCGCCGTCACTGGCTGCCCCGTCATCGCTGTCAGCATCGTCGCCAGCATCGCCATTATCATCATTGTGTCCACAGTTGTCGACGTTGCCATGATACCGCGCCCACCCAAGTCGCCGACTCGCACTGAAATGCCCGCTGGGATGCACTGAGCGGTCAGCGCCACCGCGTTCGCGTCGGTCGCCCGAACCTCGTTGGCCGCTGCGCGCGCGAACGTGCGCGGGCTAGCGCGGTCGCAAAAATGCACCAGCCAACACCCAGCACTCATCGCAATCGCTCCCGCATTGGTTTTGCAAACCAAGTTGCTGGTAGGTGGGTGGCGTGATCCCGCGAGCAGTGAAGTTGACAACTTCAAGTTCGGCTCGTGAATTGCACCACGTAGAGTGCACAACATAGACTGCGCCATACAACGTGCACCATGTATATTGCTCTACGTAAATGGTTCAACGCAGATTGCACAGATATTTCACAACGCAGCTTGCACGACATAGATCTCACGACATGGATTGCACTACGCGTGTTGCCTCACATTTACTGCATCTCGTTGGATCTAAGTCCCCCCATCGGACACGTCACGCTGGCCATGGCAAGTGCAATTGGCATATGATTTCGGAATGTTTCAAGTCCGTTTGACACGATACCATCCCAGCAAGGCCAGCACCCCCCTTCCACCATCGTCACACGATGCTATTCGCGCGCTCCGTTTATCAAACATCATAGTTTGTCAGTGCTCCCCTTAGATGTAGACACGGGGCGTTGTGGCGCGCGCATGCCGAGATCCTTCATGAGTTTCCGCCCGGATTTCACAATCGAATCCCCCCGGGAACATACATGCATTATGACCTATTATCACAGGCGACGACATGGGCGAATAGCCCAGGGGAGAGCAATACATGTATTCAGGTGCGCCGATGATCAATGTCTTCGAAAAGGCTCCCGGGCGAATGCGTGTAATGCCAGCCCCTGGGCTATTCGCCCTTATCGTCGCCGCCGATGTCGTTTAGCAAATTGATTTGTTAAAACGTATGCGCGAATTTGTGAGTCCGTACGGCATCCGCACGTAAAGTTTTACATTGCCATCCAATCTGAGCAAGCGGGCCTTTCGCGCGCGCGTGTCGATATCATTCGAACGTCCGTGCGCGCGTGTTGGGAGGGGCGCGGTCCCTGCCGAATGACACTGTGCGTGTCACTCGCGCGCGTCGGCAGCGCGCGCATATTGAAATCTTTCCAAAACTGTCATCGCCGACGCGCGGACACCATCACCGTCACCGGGGTGATCAGCATCGGTGCCGTCACTGGCCTTGCCGTCGTGTTTGTCGTCGTTGGTCATCAGCATCGCTACTATCATAGTCGTGTCTGCCGTTGTCGATGTCGCCATGATACCACGCGCGCCCGAGCCACCGACTCGCATGGAGGTGCCCGCGCGCCAGCGCGGCTTGTCAGACGCGCTGAGACATCCCCGCCGGCCAGCGCCACCGCGCCCGCCTCGGTCGCGCCAAACTAGCTGGCCGCTCTGCGCACGAGCCTGCGTGTGCTAGCACGGCTATTGCTATGCGGCAGCCAGCGCCGAGCAGTCAAGGGATTTTGCAAACAAGTTTTGGGGTGGGTGTGTGGGATGATTGCGCTGGCAATGGAGTTGACGACTTCAAGTTCGACTGGGGCAACTGTGCGGTTTCACAGAACTTGTTCCACATTTGTTGCTTCATATAGATAACCCCACCCAGATCGATAGAAACATATTATTTGGGGCCCACGTTGCCTAAACATCTAGTGGAACTTGGCAGGATCTCCGGAATGTTCCCCGTGCATTAACGATGGTTGTCCGGCTAGATTACGTCAGGTCTCATATCACGGTGGGTGATGAGCGGGGTCCTCTACATCCGTTCGGTCGGCGTTTGCCCTCGGCTCTCAGAACACGTATGCGGCGCCATCGCGAAACGCGGTTCTGAAGCGAGGTCGCCGTCCATCCGTGCAGTCGCTCAGAAAGTCGAGATACGGCTTCGAGTGGGGGGCATCCCAGGCGAGATACCAGCCCTCAAGAGCTGAGGCGCAAGTTGCATGCGCATGCGTGGGTGGCTCGAGGTCGAGGTTAAGCCGCAGCCGTTTTTCTGTTTCTCCTTGTTGCTCATGTTCCTACGTTTTTTTTTGCAGAGTGCAAGGTTGTTTGGTGAATAGGTGCGCTATGCGCCACATGCCACTGTCCACAAGTAGATGGCGTCGGTCGGGCTAGCCCCGCAGGCTTCCAGCTTCCAGCGGTTCTTCGAGGGCGTTGGCAGCGTGTTCGGGGTCGGCGGGGACGACCTGGGCCCGATGCAGTCCTTCAACGTGTGCGAAAACGTAGGACTGCCGTTTGACTGGAAGATCAAGAGCATCCAACTTCAGCATTCTAAAACTGGCACATGTTTTTAAATGTTTGCTGAAACTCGTTCGAAGCTCGTTTCACTGTGCCAGATGTTCAGTTTTACCGGCCTTGGATGCTCAGTATTCTCACAGTCCTTGGTGACTTGTGAATGAATCGGTTAATATGCTCGGCTTGCGCCTGAACATGCGCGCTTGTATCCCCAATATCCGCGTATCCATGATATGATTTGCTCGAGGCCCCCTGCGAGACGCCAGTGGGCTCTGTAACGGCAGCTGTTCTATGCCGAAGACATGGCTTTTCATGTGGCCGCATTAAACGTGAGAGAGTTTACCCCCCCGGGGTCCAATTCGATCCAATCCAATCGATCCGATTCGATATTTGTTCTGGCCAGTCCGATACGGTTCAAGTCCGATGTGTCGAAGATCCGATGCGGGCGACGATTGCAAGGCGGTGATGTGCATCTTGGCGCCGCCGATCCGTTTCGAGCTCGATTCCGTGCCGATGCAGCTTGATCCGACGCACAGTCCGATCCGACCCGGTTTCCAGCTTTGATGTTGCTTGATCTTGCCACCCCCTTGTGGCACACGTGTGTCTGACTTGAGGGGGGGCGGGAGGAGGGGGAGGAGCAGGAGCAGGAGATGGAGCAGGAGGAGGGCGAGGACCAGAGTAAGCCCAGGATGCGTCAACGATGCTGCAAAGACATCCTCCAGTTCCAAGTGCCCTCCTCACAGGCCCTTCCATACATCAGCTTCGCTACAAGAGGCGCCCCCCCCGAATGACACGCTTCCAGCGAACGGCACGGAACGCGAACATGTAGGACCATAAGGTTCAGCGAGGTGTCCCGCGTGAGCCCCGTTTCGACGAAGAACCGCTTCCCACCCGTGTCATTTCCGCACGGCTTTAGATTCCTGGTCATCACATCTGAGAGTATCTTTCTCTTCCTCCTCCTCCTGTTCCTCCTCCTCCTCCTCCTGCTTCTCCTCCTCCTGGTCATTCCTGGTCAGAGCCCCATTTTGAAGAGGAGCCATCCTCCATCAGCAGTAACACATGTTCAAACTTCTTTGTTTTTACCGTGTCAGGCAGTCTGCAGCGAGAGTCCTCGTTCAAAGACAAACCGACCTTCATCCTTACAGCTGGTGCAAGCTTTACATGGGAACGTGCGCTCCGCTGCGGCGACACCCTCGTTTTGAAAAGCAGCCGCCCTCGACGCTGTTCAGACAAATGTGCGCTGCAATACACAGAATGCTTATTTTTTGCAGGGTTGTCGCGAGCTCACGCCCTCTACAGGCCCGAGGTTGGCCGAGGTGCCCGGAGGCTGACAATATGCTGGTGGATGCATGGCCGCCAGCATCCACAAAGAAACGTGCTCTCATTTTTGTTGACAGCTGTCGTCCTGAAAGCAGCGTGTCGCCTAGACGACATTCAAGAGCGCGCCTACGCGAAGAGGGACTGGTGACCGAAACCCGTGAATTCTTCTCGAATGCAGTCGAAGGCATCCCAACGGCCGCGCAGTCCGACGACCTTATCAGACGGAATGCCTAAGATCACGTAGAATGCATTCATAAATCTCCAGAGCACGAGGAGTAACGTGAGGTCATTGGAGGAAAGCGGGGTGGACCTCTTCTTAATGGGGCACGGCCGCCTGAAGGAACCGCTCACCCCCGACGTGGACGATTTCGCAGTTTGCCTCGATAGTCTCAAAGGGGTTGCCAGCTCCCTCGCCTTGACGTTGCAGCAGCAAAGGGTGTTTCGTAGGATTCACTCCGAGGCGGAAATTTCTACATGACCACCGCCTGGAGGTCAGGTTTCGGAGCCTTGGCAGGCGGTGGATATGGACATATTCGGGCGTCCGGGGGCCGAACTATGTCCATATCCACCGCCCGCCGGTGCACCAGGACGTCGGTTCCCAGGCGGTGGATATGGATAAACCCCCGCCTCGCATCCGCTCGTTTCAGGAGCAGCTCGAATTCTCAGGTCCATAGCTGCAGTATTACTGTCAAAACAATTGGCGGAACACCAACTTTGTATAAAACCGAAAAATAAATGTTTCGAGTTTTTTAGCTGATATTGAAGTCAGATTTCTCGTCGTATTCTGAGCACTACTTCGCGTGTCAAGGCACCACGCCCACCCCCAGGGCGATACTCAGGACGCGCGCGAAGAGCCCGAGAGCACGCACAGCCAGCCTCGTCTGCGCAGTCGTCATGCCCGGGGACCGACGACGGTGGTCGCAGCCCCGACGCAGGGAGCGTACGCGTGTCTGGAGCGTGCCCCCCCCTCGCCCTCGCAGTCCCGTGTGGGTCGGAGGCCGATAGACCTCCTACCCCGACGCTTCGATTCCGGAATCGGCCGTTGTCGGTTCGCGAGGGGGCGTCGCGGCCGTCCTTGCTGCGGGTCCAGGTCCGTCGGTTTCGGCCCCGGGCCGTTTTCACCAAGGTTTACTGAAGAGAGGTTTGTCCACAGCCGAATGGGGGGGCAGAGTGGCTTCCCAGCTCAGTCCTGTCAGGTGCAAGTTCTGTTGAACGGTCGTTATCAGAGTTCGAGTGCTCGCGCGCAGCGATTACGAGCGGGCATGTTTGTGTCTAGCAGCGGAAAGTCCATTCGGATGCGTAATCGTTCCAGTCCGCGCTCGTTTTCTGATGGTGATTGTTCAGTGCGTTCCACGATGTTTTGCTGGATGCCTAAACGTTGCAACGCTTCGCAAGGGCCAGGCACCAGGTACAACGTTTCAGGTCGGGTGGTGGAACCGTTCAATGAGACTCCGCCGTACCAGCGTCCCTACCAACAGCTGGCGGATTGCCGCGAGCACTCTTGCTTCTCGAATTTTCTGCTTCTCGTGATTCATAAACAGGCAAGGGCACCACTTTGGAAACGGCGCCTCCTCCATCCTGGTCTGTTGCAAGCTTTTGGGACGAATGTGGGCGGCCCCAATGGCGAGAGCCACATGTTGACCTCCTCCCACTCCATTCTGTAACCCTTGAAGATTTCAAGCTTCAGGGTCATACGCAATGGTGATGTCTCGGGTGAAATGCCTAGCCCGCCCTACGGACACGTCTGGTGTCTGGTGTCTGTAACTGCGAGGAGTCGCTTATAAGGGAAACGCATGGAAGACGGCCAACTGAGGTAGCGCGTCGAAGTTGCCCGAACGCGACCTGCTGAGAAGGAAAAATCAAATGAACTCCCGGAAGCTAGACACAGCCAAGACCCAGAACCCTCAGCCGCTACCGAGGGAAGAGGAGAAGCAGTAGGAGACGGAGGAGGAGAGGATGGATCAGGAGCCGGGAGAAGAAGGAGAAGGAGGAGGCGGAGGAGGAGGAAAGGGAGGAGGAGGAGGAGGATCCTCAGAGTGCCTTTCGGCAGGTGGTCGCTCGGCAAAAACGCCGCCGCCAGCGCGGATCCGCTTCGAAGGAGACGGCAGGCCGCGCCGGGTGGAGCTGTCGCTCGGCTTCACCGCCTGCAGATTCGGCGTCGGAGACCAGGCCAACGGGGGGCAGCGAAAGCGGAGGGCGCCGGGGCCCCCCCGTCGCCAGTCCGATGCTCGAGGTCTTCTGGACGCTCTCGTCGGTCCTCGGCGGTCTTCCGGCCTCGGCATGCGCTCCGGCGGCCGCGCCTCGCAGGGGGGCGTGCTGGGGGTGCACGGGTGGGCCCGAGCGCGTCGGGGAGCCGGGTCTTGGCCCGAGATCCGAGTGACGGCGTCAGAGCGCCGGGCTCGGCTGCAACTCCTGGGCCTGCCAAGTTCAGCATCGGCGCCAGCAGGTCCTCGGTCGGGAACGTGTCCTGCTCTGTTCGGCCACGCGCAGAGGGGGGGGGGAATGGGGAAGGGGGGAAGGCTCCTCAGAGATACCCCTGCCTCTTAGCGGGCGCGGGCCTTGTCTGAAGATGTAAGGCCCGCGGCTTCTAAGAAGCAGCCTCCTTGTATTTGGGGCGGGAAGGAGGGGGGTGATGACTAGGGGGGGGTGGATATCATGGCGTGGGCCATGATATTTCCCCAGATTTCATGGCGCCTCTTCTTATTCCATTTCGTCCCTGGCCCCCCCGCCGGGCCGCGCACATGCCGCTGGTCATGATTTGCACCCCCCCTTCTTGGACACCCCCCTCTTGGCCGCTCCCGATTGTAAGAAGCCTTCCCCCCTCCCCCTACCCCCCCCTCTGCGCGACGCCAGTCTGTCCTGCGGTCAGGGACGTCTGTTTAGCGTGTCGCGCCGCCGGTTCTGGCTTGCCACGCTGCGGCGCGACACGCTGCCACGTCTCCCAGTGGCTCCAGTCGGGCTTGAGAGGGCCCCTGGTCGGGATGGGTCGTTCCCACGGGGACCTCCCAGGAGTTGCCTCATCAAGGACCGTGAAGGGCACCCAGGAGATATCCAGATACCCAAAGAATCGTCAGTGATCTGCAATGGATGCCCATCATCTCCAATGGTTGCCCATATCCGCCAAGATTTCGACGGGGCCTCATGGCTTTCAAGTGCAATTTGGTGTATTTTGCACCTCCACATCTTCGAAAATGACTTCAGCCTTCCTTCGTAAAGACACATCTCTACCCATCACTGGGGATCCTCCATGGCTGGAGGGGGTCGACGACGTCACGTTTCGCGCCGGCGGCGTCTGGGAATGCGCAGAAATCATGGTGGACAGGTAGCACCAGCATGTGGGTGGCGATCTACACCACAACGCCTGTGTACACCACAGTGCCTGTGTACACCACGCCGCCTATGTACACCAGAGCAGCCGCGTGCAACACAGCGTCAGTTTGTGCCACCGCGCCTGCATGCACAACAGCTCTTGTGCACACAACAGCGCCTGCGTGCACCACATCAGCCGTGTGCAACACAGCACCAGTGTACACCACAATGCCTGCGTGCATTGCAGTGCCTGTGTACACCACGGCACTTGTGTGGACGACAGCAACCGTGTGCAACACAGCACCACTGTTGCATATAGAATAGTAGAGAGAAACCTTTTGACAAAATGGAGCGATTGTGGATTGCAGAGAAAACAATAGAAAACAATCCTTACGGACAACGGAGCGTCGCCGGAATCTACGAGTCCTCCCGAGCACGTCCGCATCACCCTAACTCCTCCCATCTGCGTCCAGGAGGCTCCAGGTAAATTGGCCGTCCGAGAACCAAATGGACCGATTCAATCGACCATTTTGCGGTGCGCGCTGAGATGCGCACGTGCGCTGTAGCGCCAACCTGCACGACAAGGAGTAAGGAGGAGGAGGAGGACGACGACGAGGAGGAGGTGGTGGAGGTGGAGGAGGGAGGAGGGAAGAACGTTGCATTCGATTGTCAGTACTTTCCTGGCGTGGTGTCCAGTTGTCCGCAGCAGATCCTCACGTACATGCTCCTTCTACCTGTCCTATGCACGCTGCACGCAGGCGTTGTGGTGTACACCAGCCTTGCGTTGCACGCGAATGCTGTGGTGTAGACACGCGCTGTGGCGTGCACAGGCGCTGCGGTGCACGCAAGCATTGTGGTGTACGCAGGCGCTGTGTTGCACATGGTTGCTGCTTTGTGCACATGTGCACTGGCGCTGTAGTGTACGCAAGCATTGTGGTGTACACAGGCGCTGCGTTGCACGCGGTTGTTGCGGTGTACGCAGGCGCTGTGGTATAAACGCGCGTTGTGGTGAAAGCGAGCGTCGTGGTGTACACAGGCCCAGTGGGGCATATTGCCACCTACGTGCTGCTCGCGTCGTCGTCGTCGTCGTCTTCGTCGTCTTCGTCGTCCTCGTCGTCGTCGTCGTCGTCGTCGTCGTCGCTCGTCGCTCGTCGCGTCGTGCGCGCGGGCGCGGCTGCGGTGCCGGAGCCGCACGGCGGGGGGGGGACGTTACGTCATACCCCCCCCTTGCTCCCCCTCCCCATGACGCCCGTCATCGCCGAACATAAAGAAACGCGCTCCTCCTCCCTCCCTTCCTCCTCCTCCTCCTTCTCCTCCTCCTCCTCCTCCTCCTCCTCCTCCTCCCAGTAGACAAGATGATGATCGAGCTCGACGCGCTCGCGGTGAAGCTCGAGACTCCTCACGACAGCACCAAAGTCAAATTGTTGCTCGCCGCGCCACACTGGCCACTCAGGGGCACGATCACCTGGGCTTTCCAGGCCGAGGGCATAGCGACCAGGATGACAGGAGTCATGCCCGCAGGATGGCTCGAGGACGAAGTGGCGACGTGGCTCGAAGTCCTCACGAAGTGAGACAGCCCATCGTATTCGTTCGTGGGGAAGTGATCCCAGCCCGAGAGCCACAGCCGCGAGACCGATCAGAATCGTCGGAACGATGGCCAGAAAATCCATGCCCAAGTAACTTGTGATGGGATGAGGACCCTCTCTGAGAAGAAGATGAGACCCGAAGCATGCTTCTGCCCGCCCACGCGTCTGACGCGCGTGAGCGATCGCCCCATGCTTGCGCAGCACCCCAGCTCTAAGCGCCATACGGTCCTGCGACAGCTCGGCCCGAGTATACGTCACCCCTCTTCAGAGGCCTCCTGGGCTCCCTCGTCGAGTAAAGGGGGCTCCTCCTCCTCCTCCTCCTCCTCCTCCTCCTCCTCCTCCTCCTCCTCCTCTTCGGGGGCTCAAGGGACGGGGGTCTGTGCAAACGGGGGTCCGCCAGAGCGCCGGATCTTGCAGGGTCCTGCAGCAGAGCCAGGGTCGCGGTGACCCGGGCTTGGGCCTGCAGGATCCTGCACGGGCTGACTGGCCCTGGTCTCGACCAGCGCCAGGGGTCTGGGATCGGAGCGGACGCCCCTCCCAGGTCCGGCTGCACGTCTGCTCGGCCGCCCACCCGCGCTGGTTGCGGCACCCGCTTCAGGCGGAGGGCGAAGGCCTCCGTCGCGCGCGCGCCACCGCCGCCACCGCCGCGCGCGCAGCCGCCACCGCCGCCGCCGCCGCCGTCGTCGTGGTCGTCGTCGCCGCCGCCGCCGCCGCCGCCGCCGCCGCCGTCGCCGTCGTCGTCGCCTTCGGCGGCCGTCGGCCAGTGCGTCGGCGGTCGCCAGGCGCGCCCTGGACGCGCGCACTGTCGGGAACGTCGTCGTTGTCGTCGTCGTAGTGTCGTCGTCGTCGTCGTCGTCGTCGTCGTCGTCGTCGTCGTGGTGTGGTCGCCGTCGTCGTCGTCGTCGGCGTCGTTGTTGTCGTCGTCAAAGACGTGTAACCGGCTATCTGGCCAATTCCTCCCTCCCCCGCTCCTCCCCCAGAGGCCCTCGCGTCCTAAAGAGAAACTCGGGACGAGAGGTCTTTGGCCAGCTCTTGACCATTCGCCAGGCCCCAGGCCCGTCGAACAGCGCCTCGGGATGGAAAGCCGGTTCTGGAGAAGGGTTCGAGGCCTCCAGGTTTCCACGCTGTGACAAAATCATTACGTCGGGGGTCTGGGAAGGTTTCGACCAGTTGATGCTGCGTGACGTGGGCCCCTGGGAATGTCGACCAGTTCCTCCGGGGATCTTGCCTTGTCATCCCGTGTCGCTTTTGTTTTATATTGGCTGGACGGCCAAGAAGCGGCACCCGGAGGCCAACACACATCACAGTAACAAGCCGACGAAAGTTTGTCTCGACGCCCACATATGATGTTCCCTGCAGGTTGGCCGGCCTGTCCTCTTCGTGTCGTCGCCGTCCTCATGCCGAGGCTCCCCGCCATGCGGCGGTGTGATTTTGCTCACGCCGTGGGCCCCAGAGGTTTCGACGCCCTTGCCTGGAAGCAGCCTCTCCCCCAGACCGACTGCTGATGTCCCCGGGGGCCAGAACAACGGCCCCCTCGGAGGCCGTGATCGGGGAAGAGCGCCAAGACTGACCGTTTGCGTTTCGTTTCGCAGGGCTTCCACGAGGGAGCCACAAGGATCAAACAACATACATAGATGGCGCGTTTGAGCGCTGCACCCGGCCGATCCTCTTGCCAGCCGCTGTGCTGGCTGAGCCGGTTGCCAGAATATGGGTGGATCTTTGCTGTCGGACCTGGTTTAGGCGGGCCCTGCCTCGATCCTCCCATGTCTGTCCGAGCTTGATATCGAGGGGACGCAGGGATGCCAAAATGTAGTCTCGGCACCACGGGCGCCTCTTGTCGCTCAGGTGTCGAATGACGAGGTATCTTTCGACAGGGTTCCTGCTGCACGCTGGGCACACGCCGCTGTCGTCGATAAAGCGGCGCACCTGCACACGCTGCTTGTGAGCAATCCGGCTGTGCTGAAGGAGAGATTTCTGGGAGGCGAACGCCTCCCCCCATGGTTGACCAAACGAAGTCCGCGGGAGTTCTTGGGATATCCCAGCCGGTGTTTTGATTTACATGCGATTTGGACCCCCGAAGGAAGTCCTGGCCCATCCCGAGTCGTGTCTTTGACGGTCCAGGAGCCTGACCACGGTTCTGTGTTCCCGTGCTCGACGAACAAGACGTCCGCTGGTGTCTCTTCAAGCAAGATGTTGGATGCTTGCTAAATGGGGCCATTACTCGGCCCTCCGGCATCCGTTCGGGACGATTCGTCGAGGCCTCGCAGACGGGGTCGGAGTAGATGGGGTCGGAGGATCGCGCCGCATCGCCGATGCATCGCCGATGCGGCTCGATGTGGGGCCCGATGTTCGCCACGCCGAAGGCGCCGATGCATCGCCGATGCGTCGGCGACGCATCGCCGATGCATTGCCGATACGTCGGCGATGCAACGGCGATGCATCGCCGATGCGTCGGCGATGCGGCGCGATCCTCCGAGCCCACGGGGGGCCTCGAGGCATTCGGTCGAGAGGGTTCGGGCACCCGCGAAGAGCGCTGTCTGTCGCCGAGGCGTGGGTGCCGGCGGGCAGCCCGAGGCGCGGAGGCCCCCGGCAGCCAAGGGCAGCTCGAGGGCTGCTGAAACCGTGGCTGCTAAAGTGGCCCTCCCGGAAGGAAAAACCAACTTCCCGGAGTGAGGCGCGGCACGCGAAACAGTCAACGGGGTTCTTCCCGGAAGGACGAAGACAACTTCACGGAGGTCGATTCTAGCAGCCACGGATTTCGCAGCCCTTGCCCGGCTTCCGAGTGAGCCTGGTCGCCTCCCCACGTTCGCAGGCGCTGCCAGCCACTGCCCTGTGGTTTCGCGGCGACGGCCCGCTGCTGGCTTTCTGGATTCCTGGGCGTTTTCTCCTCTCGTCGCCACCGCCCCCCCCCCCATGTGTCCAATTCCGATCCGGTCGATCCGATATCCGCTTGGCATAGCTCGGACGTGTGCGTTTTTCTCGGCCAGGCCAGCGCCAGAAAAGTCGGGACCATCTAGGGTCATCTTGGATCGTCCTGTGAACAAGCAGCACGCACAAGACCGAAACATGCACCGGCAGTTGACGCCCGAGCGATGGCAAGCGACGCATGCAATGTAGCCCGATGTCTGCATGGCGCTGTCGTGCATCCTGGCGCGGCGGATTCGAGCCCGTCTCGCAGCCCGATCCGACGCACAGGCCTTTTCGACCCCACCTGCCGATCGGAGGCTGATTGCTCTTGCCCTGAACGAGTGCCCCTCGCCCTCCCTGTCGCCCCCCGACCCCGCTCCATGAGATCATCGGTCCCCTACCCCCTGGAGATCAGGGGGGGAGGATAGGGGAACGAAAAGTGGCATAAACATAAAAACTCTGAGGTCCGCGCGGATTTCTCGGATCGGCGCTGGACCCCCCTCCCTGGCGCGCGGAGCGCGCCAGGGGCGGCGCCGGAGGCGCCGCCGGGGGGCCCCAGCGCCGATCCGAGAAATCCGCGCGGACCTCCGAGTTTTATGTTTATGCCACTTTTCGTTCCCTCAGAGAAGGAGCAGGAGCAGGGTGGTGACAATGCGTCGTTCGGGGGGGGGGGGGGGCGCGAGCCCAGACACCCGACGAGGCGCTCTCTGCTGTTCGCGGCGCAGCCCCCCCGAGCTCCGAGGGAGCGCGGATCTACCACCGCTTGGGGAGGGAAGGGCATCCCACCCCGACCCTTACGTCGGGCACGTTCCCTCTACAGGAGGCGTCGTATCCAAGAACAGTTAAGCAGTAGTCCGGTGACGATTTCTCGTGCTCTCTTGTCTCTCTGTGGTTGCAGATCTTCTGACTGTGCTTGGTTTGTCCTCCTGGATCCCCGCCTGTAGGAGGACATGCCCGAACTAGGGGGGGCGTTCGAACCAGCTCTAATCGAATCCTGCCGCTGGGGCCCGATCCAGCTCTGACAGAATCTTATCAGGGCTCGACCAAGCTCTGATTGGGTCCTCCAAAGGCCAGATGCAGCTCTAACATGATCCCACTAGGGCCAGATCCAGCCCTAATGAAGTCCTACAAAAGTTCGGTCCAGCTGCCACAAGATTCGGCGAGTGAGCCTTACTAGAAACTTATTTCTGGGCTGGCTCCAGCTCCACTGGTATCCCACTCATGCTCGGTTCAGGTCTAACACGATCTTGCGATGGCCAGGGTGTAGCTCCAGAAGCCATTTAGGGTGTGATCCAGCCTTGAGAAAACCCTACTCGGGTTCGATCCAGCCTTCATGGATGCCTACAAATGCTAGACCCATCTTTGATATAAGCATACCAAAGCTGGATCTAGCTGTCGTAGAATCCCCTCCCTTTCCCACACCCCCTCCCATTCCCCCCCGGTTCGGAGTGCGAGGCTGTTGTGCCCCCCCTCCCCGGTTCGAACCGGGGGGGGCGAGGATGCCAGCAGCAGAAAGGGCTCTTGCAGAGGTCCCGATCCCCTCCCCCAGGGGGTACTTTTTCGTCGCGGGTCTGTGTTTGATGCTGCCCGGGGCTTATAACAGGCCCCGTTTGGGCAGAAATCGAGGAGCAACAGTGCATGGAAAAACAGCGTGAGAGATCTGGGGTGGGGGAGGACGACAAGGAGGAGCCCACAAGATGGCAGTGTCTGGGTTCGAACTTCGACGCCACCAGCCCCGAGCCCCGATGACGAGCCCAAGCGAAGAGGGCGGCGGATGGAGGAGGGTCGCCCCCCCCCCCCCCCCCCCGCGGGCGCCAACCGCCTGCCAGGGCACACGGACATCGATCCCCCGAGGCGGCGGTGAGGGGTACATCCCCGCCTCGCGGATAAGGGGCGAGCGCAGGAGAGGACCGGAATGGGGTAGACCTATCGCGAAGCGGTGAGAGAACGTCACCCGAGGAACCTCCCAGAGCCTTCTCGGGCTGGGTTGGGCTATGCCTTGGGCCACTTGTCCCCTCGCAGGTTCTGATACATGGAGTATTCGGACCTGGTTTGGTGCGGGGGAGTCCAAGCAAGGTTCGCCCAACGATCTGAACTGGGCACTCCCGCAGTGGAGGAGGAGGAAAGGGACGCCCGCGCGATGAGGAGGAGGAGGAGGAGGAGGAGGAGGAGGAGGAGGAGGAGGAGGAGGAGGAGGAGGAGGAGGAGGAGGAGGAGGAGGAGGAGGAGAGGAGGAGGAGGAGAGGAGGAGGAGGAGGAGGAGGAGGAGGAGGAGGAGGAGGAGGAGGAGGAGGAGGAGGAGGAGGAGGAGGAGGAGGAGGAGGAGGAGGAGGAGGAGGAGGAGGAGGAGGAGGAGGAGGAGGAGGAGGAGGAGGAGGAGGAGAGGAGGAGGAGGAGGAGGAGGAGGAGGAGGAGGAGGAGGAGGAAGAGGAGGAGGAGGAGGAGGAGGAGGAGGAGGAGGAGGAGGAGGAGGAGGAGGAGGAGGAGGAGGAGGAGGAGGAGGAGGAGGAGGAGGAGGAGGAGCGCGCGCACGCAGGGGAGCACCCCCCCCACGACCCCACAGACTGGCTCACGGGCGGCGGGCCGACGGGCGCGCCGGCCACGCAGGAGGCCGCGGCCCCCCCGCGCCCCCCACCGGCCGCGGCGCTCTTGGCCCGCGCCTGCGCCGGCGCCCACCGCGGGCCCTGCCACAGATCGGGACGACCGACATGGGCACGGAAAGAATGGGTACAGTGCCCAACCGCAGTTCTCGTCCATTTTGAACAGGACTCGTTGTCCACGCCGCCGCGGCCTGTGTCTATTTGAGACAGAAGGCCGCCTGCCCAACAGCGACCGCTGTTGGTTTGGGACAACATTTGTTGTTGGGCATTGTACCCATTTTTTCCGTACCCGTTTCGGGCGTCCCAAACGGAGGGCGCGGCCCGAGGCGTGGGACGGGGCGTCGGACGGGGAGCACTCCGTGCCGGAGCGTCTCGGTGGAACGCTCTCCGCGGGCCCCGCGACGGAGGGCGCGGCTGGAGGCGTCGGACGGGGGCGTAGGTCGAGGAGCACAATCCGTCACAGAGCGTTCCGGAAGCGCTGGGAAGGCCACGGCGCCCGATTCATCCTTCCAGAGCCGCTGGATTCCAGAGACGCTCGATTTATTCTCACCCGAACTTGTCCTCGTCTTGGCTTCGTCTTCGGGCGGGGGTGTTACCCATAGCTGCCGCATGGGGGAGATCGATCTTCGGGGACGTCGGCATGCGGTGGATATGGATATTTCGTGGCCCTCGGCCCATCCCGCCACCGTGCCTCGATTGTGGGTCAGAGTCCTCATGGATCCTTCTTGGATCTCTTCGGAGCACTCTCGTTGTCCTCTTGGGGCAGTTTGGGGGCTCGCCTCTTGGGGGCCTCTTGGGAGCTTCAAGTGGGCCTCTTGGGAGCATCTTTTGGGCCTCTTGGGGCTTCCTGAGGGCCTCTTGGGGGGGCCTCTTGGGGGACTCCTGGGGGCTCCTAGGGGCCTCTCGGGCTGAGGGCTCGAAATGTCCGTTCGGGTCCCCCGTCTGGGCCCCCCCTTCTGGAGCCGTCTTTTGGGCCTCCTTGGCAGTCTTGGAGGAGGCCTCTTGGACCGACTTGGGGCCCTCGTTGGCCGTTTTGGGGCCCTCTTGAAGGCCTCTTGGGCCGTCTTGTCGCCTTCGAGCTGCATGGGTTGTCTGGTTTGTCCGGGTTGTTCGGGGGGATGTCCAGTGATTTCGTTTGATTCTATTATGTTCCCACTGAACATATAGTCAACTCGCCTGGCAAGGACGCACGCCTTCATCTAGGGTGCCCTCGTGTCCTTGCCTTTGCGGCCCGTCCTTTGCCGTTTTCATGGGTCGCCCGCCGCCTAGCACATCCAAAGTTCGGCCGCCAAGGGTCTTGCGTCATTAGTACCCGTCCTTCGCGCATGTTTTGGCAGTAGAAAGATTTAGGAGGAGGATGGGCGGGGCGGTGCCGACGATTGGGGCGGGCGGTAACAGATAGGGCGGGGTTGGCACGAAGATGAATCCGTTGCAGAGCGTTCCGGAATGCTCCCGGAGCGTTCCGGAACGCTCTGAGAGGGCCGCCGCGCCCGAGACATCCTCCAGAGCCGCCAGATCAGAAAGATGTTCGATTTATCCTCTTCTGGTTTTGTCCTCGTCGTCCTGGCTTCGACTCAATCGAGGATCGAGAATCGAGGAGGAGGATCGACGAGGGAATTTTGAGGATCGAGGGTGATCGAGGAGGCATCGAGGAGGCATCGAGGATCGAAGAAGAGGCTTGAGGTCGAGGGGGAGGATCGGGGCTCGAGGAGCAGGATCGTCCACTGCTCTCCGAGAGGGGCCTGATATCGGGGAACAAACGATGGCGCAGACCTAGCAACTTGGAGGTCCTCCTCGCAAGTTCCTCGGATTGGCGCTGGAAGCCCCCTCCTTGGCGGTGCCTTATGGCGCCGCCCCTGGCGCGCTCCGCCGAGAGGGGCCTGATATCGGCGGCGAGCGAGGGGGGAAGTGAGAAGGAGAAGGCCTTCTCAGCCGGCGGCGGGGCTTCTCAGAAGGCCTCCGGGCTTCTGAGAGGTTTGCGGCGCAAACAGGAAAAACTTAGAAAAAACTTTCAGAAACTCGCAGAAGGCCCTTGGACTTTCGAGCCGTCTGAGAAGGCCCATCCGACCACCGCTGCTACTACGGCTGCAATACCTACTACAACTGGAGCTGCGACTGCTGCCGTTACTGCTACTGCGACTGCCACTACGACTACTACCACTCCTACTATTACTACGACTACTACTACTACTACTACCACCACCACCACTACTACTACTACTACTACTACTACTACTACTACTACTACTACTACTACTACTACTACTACTCCTACTCCTACTACTCCTACTACTCCTACTACTCCTCCTACTACTACTCCTCCTCCTACTACTACTACTACTACTACTACTACTACTACTACTACGACTACTACGACGACTACGACTACGACTACGACTACGACTACGACTACGACTACGACTACGACTACGACTACGACTACGACTACGACTACGACTACGACTACGACTACGACTAAGACTACTACTACTACTACTACTACTACTACTACTACTACTACTACTACTACTACTACTACTACTACTACTACTACTACTACTACGAATACGACTACTACTACGACTACGACTACGACT